AAAAGCAGTGAGGTCTGTATCAAAACAAGGTCAACTCTAGCCTCGCTGCCATACAAAGGCCAGGTCACTGAGCAGACAACTGTAAAATGGTCTATTGCTTCTGATGTCTTGCAACGTTTTACAAGAATTGTGACTCTTGAATTGAGGTGGACCAAAATGACTCCTTATTACACAGGTTAGAGCAGTTTGAGTTTCGTAAAACCAAAACCAAAGTAATCACTCTGGCCAATTACAAAAGACGAGAAAACCCAGTGAACAAATCAAAACTCGAAGCAGATACGTATACCCGATGCGAAGCGCGGGAAAATGTTTGCGCGCGAATCACGCTTTGTTATGGCTTTTCTTCTGATTGGATGACAAAGTGGCGCGAGTTTTTTAAGACAATCGCGCAGCGCAGTACTGAAAAACCAAAGCAAACGCTAATTACTTTCTACATTCAAGTGAAAACTGTTCTCAACAAACATTCATAAACAGGATTACTTCAGTATCGGTAACCAAAGCTCTTCTGTTTTTGTTGTAGACTTTGGCAGTGGTCATGGATTCAGTCGATGCCGATCATGTCGCCATTGTAAATTGTAAATATAAAAATAAAGGACACTCTTCAAACTCGTGTTGCCAACTTGGTTTATGAACTAGCTTGATTCAAAATTTGGTTCCTAGAAACACTCCATTTCAAGTAGTATTGGTCGGTGTTGAGACGGTCTTGTCGCGTGCCTTCGTGATATTGCGAAGCAGGCGGTCCGCGTTGTGTTATTAGGGAGTGTGCGAAACCACGACGCCGACGACAACGTCGATTAAAAAATGAATTTATATTTTACTACGAATCTCGCGATACTCCTAAGTCATGTACATTTAATCCGGAACACAGCGATAAATTTGAAATAAAAATTAAAAAAATTAGCCGTCGTGGTTCACGTTTTCCAGGCAACGCAAAATTTGGCCATTTCAAGTTGTTGTTTTGCAGAAGGCGGCAAAGAAATGTACCAAGAATTATAACACACATGCACAGCCATTGTCCTGCTCATTAATTCTTTTGTTCAGTGACGTTGCCGTTGAGGTCGTGGTTTCGTAAACTCCCCAGCGTCACGTGAATGACGTACCTACCCCCTCGCTGCACTCGGGCCGCAAATGACACAAATAAACTTAAGTCCTTGGGAGCTTCAGCAATGGCAACGCCGAGGACGACGCCCTTTAAAAAAATGGATTTATATTACCTTCGAACGTCATAACTGTGTAGATCTGCTCAGTACGCCTATCGGTCTAAAAGCTTGCTTAGGCTAAATATGCTATGACATCGTTCAATTTCAAAGGAAGATACAAAAAAATTAGCCACTGCGGTTCACGTTCTCCAAAATTCGTAGAACTTGGTCATTTCACGTTGTTTTGCAGATGGCTAGTAAGAAATGTACCAAGATTCAAAACGCACGCGCCGAACCACTGTTCTACTCATTAAACCTTTGGTTGGTGACGTTCTCGTTGGCGTTTGCTGTGGTTCCCTGTTTTTTTTTTTCCCTTGCAACAGATGCTATCACCAGGGACTTTGTTTGACACATTTTACCCAGGATCCAAAGACACAATACTCGACAGAGTAACACGAATTTTTAAGTCTGGTTTTCACTAGAAAGTAAGTAAGTAACAACTTACAAAAAGCAAGCGTAAGCACAAACGCAAGCCATACGGATGACCCAATTGAAAACGGAATTTGACGCAAACACAAGCACAAGCCAAATTATCCGAACCTTTCAAACTGTTTAGGCGTGAGGTAATCTGGATCCAGTGTTTTCAGTGGCCAAACGTAACCGCGTGTGGTAAACATCGTTGTGCTTGTGTTATGCCCGAGCGGTATTTCGTTTCCACTTGTTGCAGTGCGAACGTAAGCATAAGCGCAATCACAATAGGAACAATTTTGATCCTTGTGCTTATGCCTGCGTCAAAGCCGTTTTCACGGTGAAATAATTATTGTGTTTGCGCTAGTGCTTGCGTCGCTAGTGAAAACCAGGCCTCAGAGACGAACCAAAAAAAGGGATGATGTTTTTCAAGTAGAGCCGTTTGTGACACGTTTAGGATGACCATTGCTCTCCCCAGTTGATGCGTGACACTTGAGCGAATATAACAATTCAAAAGAAAATAATTGATGAAGTAAAAAATTGCCATATTGTGAAAAATCTCTAACGTTTCGGGCATAGCCTTTCTTCGGTGTGAAAACTGTTAAATGTTGGTTCACTGGTCTGTACATTTGAAGGTAACTTGTGGAAGTTAAGCGCTGTCGCCGTTTATATGAAATGGAAAACATTATTTAGGTCCTCTGGTTGCATGGTGCCGAGACCAGAAATGATTTGTGTTTCTGTTTTACATTAACGCCAGTGCACTTCCTTAATCTTCTCTCAGTGATGTCAGCTACACTGTGCCCGGGAGAGTTAAAGGCGAAAGCTAGAGTTAAAGTAGGGTCATTTGTGACACAGAATGTTAGCTTTTCTGACAGACAACAGCCAAAGCATCGAAACACATTGTCGACGTCCATTTCGAGCAATTGGCCTGTCGCTCTGGCGCGAGTAAAATTTACTGCTGGATGTAATGAGGGAAATTTACATCTGTTTTTTTTTCTTTTTTTTTTTTCCTGCTGTTTTCAGATCAATCTTCTCTTTTCTCTTTAACTTCCCTCAGACATGTTAAATTAGACACCAGGTTAGTCTTATTCCCTTCTTCCTTGGAGCGAGATGATCTCCTTGGAAACGAGATTAGCAACAATACGTAGTGGGAAAACTAGATCGTATAATTCAAAGTGGGAAAGCTCCAAGGAAACCATTTGTCAGTCTTCTTTAGAAAGTCCGAAGTGATATAATATCGAAGGAGCAGTTCAGAAAAAGAAAATTCTGCACTATTTCTCTCTGACTCACGAGCAGGTATTTTAAAAGCTCTACGAAAGAACCCGTCAGATGTAAGCCATCTTGAACAGGAAATTAATTGCACTTTAAAAATTTTCAAGTTGTGGAGGGAGTTTATTTTTGGATGCCATTATCTGCCACAGCGGGAAAGCTGTCTTTTCCTGAGTTAAACTCGATCCTAACAACTTGCTACCTGTTTTGTTTGCATTTCGGTAATTCTCGATAATTCGCCGTAGAGGTTGTTTTTATCTCCCCGCCGATTCAAAACCCGCCGACTGATCTTGTTGTGTTGCGTTCAACTTAGGGGAATATCAGCGGCTATTATGCTTGGAATCTTTTTCTTGTGAGTCTTAATTCCCTCGTTTAGTTTATTACTGATTCGACTGATCGCTAAGTTTATTTCACAATTTATTTCTGCAACCCATTACACGTATAGATGTATCACTCAGGATTCGAAATGGAAGGAAAAGAGGCGACGAAAAATAATACTTCGTTCAAACCGGAATTAACGATTTTGTGAATTCATGAATCAGTTGACGATGCAAAAAAAACCCCTCTGCAATGCCCGCACTACTTTATACGTTCAGTCGCATTTTTATTTTGTCAATGGTGTTGAGCTTTACCTATTTAGTACAGCTGAACTTTAACTTCAAATTTTTGTCTCGTTTTACAAACTATTGTTGCTTTTTTTTTGTCCTGCAATATTGTTACCATCTGTTAATCTGCAGTGAAATCTCTCGCCGTTGAGAATTTCTCTCGAAACTGTTTTCCGCGTTCCCTGTGAGGATATAAACTCTCTAATGTTTAAGTTAACTGTATTAAACGGGAACGAAATTCGTTTAAATAACTCGGAGCACCAATTCGTCGAATATATACAATATATATTTGGTTTTCAAGAGCTGGAAACTTGAGAAAGAGATATTATTCAAAGTTTGAAGGCTGAAAAATCGATGCTCTTTTCACGGTCCTGTCAGTCAAGGGATGAATAAATTCATTTTCTCCTTCATCAGTTAAGTCTTCCTCTTCCTCCTCTTTAGAGTCGATATTCGGTGTTTCTTCTTGTTTACCTAAGTCCAGTCTTTGTAAAAACCGATTCACCTTACTCGCTACTTCTTCCAGCTCTCCTTCGTTGGCAGCACTTCCTTTTCGGGGCGACCCGCGGGGACTTGAAGAACTTGGTGACAGACAACCTCGAGGTGATTTGCTCCCGGCTGTGCTTCCTCTTCGAGTTGACGCTGAGCTTGCACTGAGTCCTTCTCTAGCTGTATCAACGGCAACAAGGGATCCACCCGCGCTAATAGGTGGCAAAGATTGCCTCCGTGGCTGATTCAGCGGAGGTAGAAGGAATTGTGAAGTTGGACTTAATGGTCGGGTTGGACTCATCAACGATCGTTCTCTCATTCCAATATCCGAGGTCCCTTCGGAAGAAATCCTGCGCCTGTTAGCCGCGGGTGAACGTTTATCGATGTCGGATAGATCACGGGAAGACATTGTGGCCGACAACAAAACTTGCGGTGTGCTGTACCGCCGCGGCAAGCGAGGGCTTAATTTCTTTGCGCCGTCGCTTGGCGATGAGGCATCGGGCAAACACAACCGATTCCTCGTATGGTTTTCCGCCTCTGCGAGCTCTTTTTGAATCTTTTTTTTCTCGCGGTCTATTTCCTTGCCAATTGAGTCCTTGTGGTAGTTTATGGAGTTCAGTTGAATCTTGAGTTTTCTGTCCGCCATTGAGTTCATAAACATGGTTTTGTCCGCGTACTCTGTTCTTTGGTACGCCATTTTGTGTTTTTGCTGTAACGGTGAAGTCAACTCAGCTCAGCTTCAATTTGTGATCGTGCGAAACGTTGCTTTTTGCGGCTGGTTTCGTGCAGAGATGACAATTATGCAAATTCTCTTCAGTTTATGCAAGGAGAATTTTTTTTTTGAGTGCGCACCTGTCCAAAAATAAATTATTTCTACGATAAGACGTGTCATTTAATAGAAACAATTAACAACTCTTCTTGTTCTAGGCTCAGGGCGAATGAAGAATCAAGGGTTTACAAATCTCTTTTCTTTAGAAATGGAGACGTTGAAGTTTAACTGGTTTGAAGAGTACACAAAATAATTTACAGCAAGAAAATTCTCTTTAGTAACCGGTTAATTTGAACGAATATTTAAACAGAAAGGTCCATCGTTTGAGTTGAAAATATCAATAAAAATCTCGACCTGCTGTTTCTATCTCTTCTCGTGATAACAGAGTGGTTTTAATCCTCGGAAGCATTTTGTCAGTTTTGTTTGGTAAGATTTCCATTAACGCAATGAAGCCAAAAGGTCGTTCTGTCAGCGAGTATCTCGTGGATGCATAACAAGTCAAAGAGCGGTAACAATAAAGGCGGCTCGAAAACCCGATCTTGCAATTCTAGTTTATTTACCAGCCAATAAAGAGTTTTGTTTAATGAAATATATACAATATTTGTAGAATTCCGCAAAGCCATTGTCACCTTTTAAAGCGAGTCGTTAATTTGAAAGGATTATATATTTATAGCGCAACAAAAACTGCTTAAGTTGGTTTTGTTATACTTTAGGCGTGAGAGACTATCAGACAGAAGCGTATGACTCACATTTTTTTCTTTATTAATTGAAATTGTCAAATTATCATCATGAACCCAGATAACCTGATTGACCAAGGTATGGGTCCCCGTGAAGCCGGCCTGAGAGATGATGTTCAATCAATAACTGTAAAACTTGCTTGGTGTGTGATAGGGCGGGAAAGCAACGTAATCACTCTGGCCAATCACAGAGGACACAGACAATCCAGTGAACCAATCAAAACTCGAAGCAAATGCATGGAGCGACGTAAAGCGCGGGAAAACGTGGGCGAGGCGAAAATGGCGCCAGTTTTTCAAGCCAATCGCGTAGTGTAGTAATGCAAGACTGCTCTATCGCTGTATTTAGAGTTTTACCGTGTAGTATAGAGTGTGTTCAGTGTCACACAATAAAAAATAAAACCAAAAACCATTCCGTGGATAAAGTCAAGAAATTGTGATATTATAGACGATAAATAAAGAAGACAGTTCTCCAAGTTTAGGGTGTGTGCGTTGTCCCAAAGTTGAGATATTCGTCGACATGTTCCGCGCAAAATTATAGAGCCTAGTATGAAGCCGCCATGTTGGAGGACCTACTTAGCCTCCAATATGGCGACCGGAAAATAGTGTAAATATCTGGAACTTACTTTGGCTATCTAGTCGACTGATTATCTGAACCGAACCAAAAAACATTTACACAAGCACTTTTTCCTAATACTTTAACTCCTAAAATGGCTAAAAATCACGAGATAACAGTATATTAAAGGTGAAGAATGATCATCGCAGTAAATTTTCCAATTTAAGCAACTGGAAAGAAGAAGCCTGAAAAAAATCAGGGCTTCAACGGGATTCGAACCNAGGGCTTCAACGGGATTCGAACCCGTGACCTCCGCGATACCGGTGCAATGCTCTACCAACTGAGCTATGAAGCCACACATTGGGAGTGAGGTCAATTAAAATTAAATTAAAATTGACCTCGCTCCCAATGTGTGGCTTCATATAGGTCTCCCGGGTACTGCAACTGGCTTGTCGAGTAATCGAGTGTCGCCCGGTAGGATAACAGTTGTGTAATTTTAAATAAAATGTGTTGTTCCTCGTCAAATTAAAGCTAGAATTCTCGACCTAACTACTAGAAGAGGCCAAAGCAACTTTAGCATTGTCTTTATTTCTTTTAGCTGCGAGAAAAAAGACTATTATCGTGTCATTTCGGTGGAACAGCTCGATTTTGACTGCCGCTCCTTTTGCGAGCGCAGCCACCATATGCAAGGCCAGAATTTGGCCACTTGCAAATTTCAAGGGAACGAGGGAGGGGCTTATTTCCAGGGAGGAGGAGCTGACGATTGAAATTTTTCTATACCTGAGCATTTCTTTGAGACCCAACAGAGAGGTTTAGGACTACAACAATAGTTTCTCCCCTGTTGCTGGGATTTTTTTTTTTTTTTT